AGTTTTGTATTCGTTGTCATGTTATTATGTCACATAAAAAAAGGAATCATATTTATGTGCTATTAAATTCGTCTGCGCTCTACATTCTTTGCATTCGTTTTTTTTTTTAAATTCCCAGTTTCTCTTTTACATTTTGTATAGTATATCAGGTTTGTTGAATCATTCCATCTAGTAGTAATAATAACAACGAAAATAAAAACTGAGATTGTTTTAAAAAATGACAGTGCATTTTCTAAAACAATCTCAGCTTTATTTTATTTTATCTATCATATAAAATAAATAATGCTAGATATTACAATAAATTATTTTGAAAATAATGGCTTAATTTCCGCCTCGCTTCATTCGGCAGATCTTTTGGTTTAATTAAATTTAATTAATTCCGTTTATTAAATTTTTAAAGTATGATGCACTGTTTTCATTCAATGGCAAGATTAGAGTGGTATTTAATTTTAGCCTTCTATGATTGAAATGTCTTATACTTTTTATTTACAAAGTTGGGAGTTCCCATACTTCGGGCTGATTTAATTTGCTGAAGTAGAAACCAAACCGCCCATATTTAAGACATAAGTCACAGGAATTCCTGTTAGTGGTGAAACGAAAACGATTGGGTTCAATTTTAAATTATCATATCAAACGTGGGGTGCGAAGTGAGATTTAAAAAGTCATACCAAAAATTTTTATCGTAGAGAGAGACCTTTTTTTCCAGCTTGAACATCGGTGAGCTTCATGCATCATTTATGTATCCCACGAACGGTCTACAGACGGGTGAGGATGGGAGGACATCATTATTCCAGAAGAACTTTTAAGGATAACTACCCATCAATTGCGTTCGTATGATAGAAAACGAGGCAGCCTAACCATTTATAATACGGGATGCTTTTACACTTATTATCACAATCGAGTCTCCTCGTTTTCGAAAGCAGCTACTAGAACACTGCCTCCAGCGTAATCGAACTTCAGCTTTCTATATTCTGACTGAGCTCATTGGTACTGACCTACGATAAATGTCGTAGATCAGTACCAATGAGCTTAAATTCTTAAATATAGATTCTATTCTATATAGTGGTACAATTACAATCTGGACTTCATTATTTAACATATTTAAGCAATTATGTAATCCCGGAGGTGCCATGGATGTTTGTACTGGTTCATAATCCATTTTAAAACGTCGGTCTCGGTCTAATATGACTGTCGAGCGTTGAACGTAGTGCTGACAACTCTACCCCGTAAAACTCCCCTCAACTCCCCTGTCTCGAAATCTTCTAGTAGGCAGACGGCTTTGGCTCACCATGGGAGTGTTTCGTCAATGAAGAAGAAGAAACAATTACGCAGAATTTAAAACAAAAATTTCTGTTAATATTTTAAGTTCTAAGCTTAGTCAAATAACGATGTTTCTTTTTTGACCGTAAATCGGAACAAGTCAGTATAATTATGTGCAGATTACAAAATTTTTTACTATTTTTGTTCGTGCACTATAACATTTAAGGTCTTTAACTTGAAGATGTAACTTATGAAGATTCAGTTCAGCAACTTTTACTTCCGAGGATCTTGGATCTTCTCCAACTACATTTTTCGTACTCATGTCATTTTGGAGTGACTTTACTGCATTAGGTGTTTTGTGTAAAAAGCTTAGCAGTGAGCTTACTGCATTGCGACATTCTTAAAAAAGTATTTACATCTACTTTTATCTTGTTTTATTTCCATCTCAGTGTGTTTTCTCTCTTCTTTTTTATAATGTATTTGCATTATTTGAGTGATTAAACTTTGGCATTTTGTTTTTGATGAAACATTTATTTTGCTACGTACTATTTTATTTTTTTTATTTTGTATCATGAAATATATTATAAATAAATAAATATATAATAAATAAGTAGATTTTTTTAGTTTTAATTGTTTTCTTTCCAATTTGGGCCATCAATGTTTATTCATATCATCATCATCAACAACAACAAGGACCTGAATAGCCGAGTGTGCTCGGCGTTCAGTGTCACAAGTTTCGGGTTCGAATCCCGGCGGTGCCATGGATGTTTGTAGTGGTTTGGAATCCGCTTTAAGCCGTAGGTCTCTGTCTCATATGACTGTAAGAGCGTCATGGAGCCAAGTCAGACTTTTATCTACGGGTGCTCCATCACAATAGAAGCTGCCCCTTTCCATCTATCCACGAGTAGACTACTCATGGGATGCCCTTCATACGCTGCCGGCACTGATGATTAGTCATAACAACAACAACAAAATCTACCTAACTTAATCATTAATTTGTTGTGGGGACACCATTCCGGTGAATTAATGTCAATTCCTGTTGAAAATGTAATTTGGACCCCCCCCCCGTGTGGCATCTTCCCTATATTGGCACCCCCTACTTTAAACTCTACTCAAGGACTTTTCCTGAAGATTGTTCAGTATGATTAATTCAGGGTAGAAGCAAGCTTTTTTACACTGCAAATCGAGTTTCCTCGGCTGAGCCCTCTCGGACATAATATTTAGACCATTTTCTTTAATATTAGTGTTATTATTTAAAAGCAATTCATAAAAACAATTGAGTAAGAAGTCAAATGTGCTCAAGTTGTTAGAGTCTGAATGCAGGCACCCTCTGCGTATAAATAACTGACCTATAGAATTAACACCCCAGTTCACAATGCAATCTGCAACCCAGGTATGCAAAGCATGTCCACAAATCACGGCAATTACCTTGTCAAAATCCGAAGAGAATATCCATCTATTTAAGGCACTCGTTGTTTTTCCGCCGGAGATGACGGAAGTGGCCACGAGGAGAAGGACTTTCTTCCGCCTGACACCTACTACCTCGTCGGGACACCATCTCCTCTCGGTTGGTGAACCTCCTCGCTCGAGGAATGCGAAACCGGAATTTCACTGGGGTAATCTTAACGGATCACATTGTGAACCAGAAGAGAATCTTGTTGCACTTATCTATTTAACAGCAGCATGGCTGGAATGCTCAATTCGGTCCACCGGTTTCACTTGCGGTGCATTTGCTTAAGGTGCTGAAATTGGAACTGAAATTGAACAAAAAATAAATAGTCGTGTACATAAATATGTATGCATGCGTGTGTATATGTGTGCTTACATGTATGTATATATGTGTGCATGTATGTATGCATATATGTATGCATGCATGTGTGTGTATATGTGTGCATGATGTATGCATGTATGTGTGCATGATGTATGCATGTATGTGTGCATGATGTATGCATGTATGTGTGCATGATGTATGCATGTATGTGTGCATGTTTGTATGTATATATAAATTCATACACGCATAAATATATTCATAAATATATTCATACATGCATAAATATATTCATACATGCATAAATATGTTCATACGTGCATAGATGTATACGCAATGTACCATTTATGTACATATGTGTGCATGTGTGTGTGTGTACATATGTGGGCATGTATGTATATATACATATATATGCATGCATATATAAATATATATGCATGGATGTATGTATATGTATGCATTTATATATACATACATGCACACATATGTACATGTATGTATATATATATCACACGTTTGAAACTCGACAAGTTTTGAACAAGTGAAATGGAACTGAATGTTTTCTTCCTCATGTCGGGAATAGTCACGTTAAATAATGTCTTCCCCGTGGGTTTGAAGAGGAGTTAGATGTGAATGTCTATTCCTTTCCATGTCAATTTCTTTAAAATTGGAGTAGCAAAATGTGGATGCAATGTACCTTGATGCAACACTGAATCTCCGACATTTTTTGTTGTTCTTGTGGCAAAATGATTTAGGTCAAAGCACCCGGTATTCTAAAACAACATTTAATAGATTATGTTGTTTTTAATACGTTGCATTGTTTATTCATCCCACAAAAGAAACGCTATCCAACATTTTCTTTTATTTCTCTTTCACTGAAGTGTTTTAAACCTAAGAATATTATTCTAAGAGAGACGGCATTGTTTTCTTTTAAAAGAAATTTCTCTAAATAAAATGTTTTTATTTCGAGAAATTTGGAGTAATATGTGGAGTAATATTATTAGCAGTAATAATTAAGGTTAAAATTACGTAACAGCTCTTCTTCGTATTGCACTACCCAGAGCTTCAGTGTGTTACAAAGACGTCCTTGACTGCATTGGACCGGTTTTACAAGCGGTTCATCACGTGTATTAGCACGGGATGCTTAAATTGGCTTAAACGTAGCCAAAACTAAATGTTAATAGGTTTATTTATTCTTCATTCTAACTACATTTTAGCATATTGTTTTAAAAGTGTTTACACTTAAAATTGTTTTACGCATATGTGATATGCAATACATTGCGCATTTCATGTTCAAATAGTTGACAATCAGAAGAAATTAAATAAATATTTCACAATATATATTGCACTTATGAAATATTTATAGATATAAGTATTTATATACTTATGCTTCCAGAATCAGGGGTCGGTTGTAATGTGCGCAGTTAACGTGCAAAAGGGTTTAGGTTTGAATCTTCTGGAAACATCAGGTGCTGTCACTGCATTTTCCAAATGATTTTGTTTTTCATTTTAATCATATGAAGATCATATTATGAGTATTTATAATATTTTTCTTTCAAAATATCGTGCATTATGATTAAAAAAAAATTTATAATTGTGAATTTCTGATTAATAATCGACACAAACATAAATTGGATATTATATTTTTAATAATAATGTACACATAATTTCATTCTTAGAGAAGTGTAATTAATACGTTACTGAGGAGGCCCAGTAGCGATTGAGACAATGCATAAACGCCTCGCATCCATAGTCATTCTTTCGGGTGTGAGTTTTGCGGGCTTTCTATTATGTGACACTCAAATGTGGGACAATTATACCTAGAAGTATTTTGAAGGTAATGAATTCCCTAATCATCCATCGGAAGACAGTTTGTGGCTTACATATGTGAGACATAAGGCTCCCTGAAGAACAACAAAAAAGTACTTTACAAATCGTCGGAATTTTATATAAATTTTAATATTAGCTAATTCACTGAAGTTAAGCATCATTGGGCGCGGTCAGTACTTGGGTGGGTGACCACCTGGGAACACTGCGTGCCGTTGGCAAATTTGGGACCTGAATGGCCGAGTGTCTAGCGCTCTGGCGCTCGGTGCCACAGGTTTCGGGTTCGAATCCCGGCGGTGCCATGGATGTTTGTAGTGGTTCGGAATCCACTTTAAGCCGTAAGTCCCGGTCTTCTATGACTGTAAGAGCGTCACGGAGCAAAAGTCAGGCTTCTACCTACGGGGTGCTCCATCACAACAGAAGCTGCTTCCTTCCCCTTCAATCATGAGTCCATATGGGCTCGTGGGCTTGGCCAGCCAAGTGGGATAAGAAACAACAACAACAATATTAACTAATTAATTATAAGCTTTTAATTATAAACTCATATTAACTTCATTTTAACCAAATGAAGATCATTTTATGAGTGTATGTTTCTTTGGTGTATTCAAGTATATTATGAGTAAAAAAATTCATAATTGTGAACTCGTGATTTATAATCGAGACAAACATAAATTTGATATTATAATTTTAATAATAATGTACAGATAATTTCATTCGTATAGAAGTGTATTAATGCATTATTTGTATCAAATCTTTGAACTGTTCGACCTTATTTTCACTTAAATTCTATGAATGTGTACAAAACTGGAATAGAATAACCTGTAAGGGATCATATATTAATATTGAATAATTTGTATAGGGTAGTGCATTTTTTATATTGTTTTGTTTATTTGACTTCTCCATTATCTGACTGTCCAATGGCTAATTGGCTAGCACACTGGCCTTCGGTACCACAGGTTTCAGATTTGAATCCTGGAGGTGGCATGGATGTTTGTGAGTGATTCGGAATCCACGTTAAACTGTAGGTCCTGGTCTAATTATCCCAAAGTGTGCACGAAATAACAGTAAAGTGACAGACCAAACCAAATGTATATTATCTTGAATCATTTTTAATTTTCTGAAGTACTTTTTTGTATGTAAATTAATTTTCCATATTGCACTTTTGTGTCAGCATTTGAAAAAACTCACGTATTTAATCTTTTAAAAATCTCATTTAAAAAGCTCATGCTGTCATATATTTAAGAAAGGTCTTTTAAGTATAATTATTGAGTGCGAAACTAAAATTTTGATTGAATAAAAAATTTATCATTTCGTTGTTTTCTAATTAATCTCTCGTAAACGCATTGTTTTCAAAGTAAATTTGTAATATTTTTTTTCCTTTTAAAAAATACTATTCACACTAAATGAATTTGTGTAGATTCGTTTTTTTGGCGAGAGTTCGTGTAGAATGAAATTTACACAATTTATCTTCTCTATTTCAATCGTAGAAAAAATCAATCTATCCAATCTACACAATCTATAATCTCTATAATTTACACACATGGGGTCTGATGGTCGAGTGGTTGGCGCTTGGCACCACAGGTTTCGGGATTGAGTCCGGCGATGCCATGAGTATTTGTAGTGGTTCGGAATCCACTTTCTTTTTTTTTCGGAACTGTAGGTCCCGGTCTGTTTAGCCTAAAGTGTGCATTATAGAATAAAATGAATCCACACAAATGAATTTGTGTAGATTCGTTTTTTAAAACTTCTTTTTTCCTCCCTCTCGTTCGTGATATCCAAAATACATTTTTATTTTCCCATTCAAGTATTTTTCTTTTTTAGCTGCAACAATGAAAAAAGATTTAATTCAATTTATTCGGTCATTCATCGAAACTGGGTCGATAAAATCAATTCTGAGGTTTCTATAATAAAACCAAACTAATGTCTACAGAAGCAATTGCACCTGCTACAAAGAAACCATCTGCGTGGTTCACACCCACGACATTGTAGCTTAAAAATAGACACGGAGAGAAAATTATTATTACACTCTTAATTTGAGTGACCCATTGACGGATTAAGGCTAGGAAATCGAAGAGAAAGTCGTCCATCATTTTCTGGTCTGGCGTTCTCTGAAGTCATTGATCGTTGAAGTTTTCTAATTTATACGTGGGAGAGGTTGTTCACACCCGCATAATGCCTGCCCATGTCCAGCCACTCCCCTCCTTCCATGGGGGCAGTTGCCTTTTTGGACATGAGAAAAACCAACTGGCCATTTGGGTCATAAAATAAAATTCAGAGAGAGAAGAACTTGAAGCTCCAGTTCTTCCAAAATAGGATGACTGTTTTTTAAAAAGTTGAATGGCTGGTTTTTAATTGAAATGGAGATTTATTTTTATCGGTTCTTGTTGTTGACAGACGAGGAAGTGTTTGAATCTGTTAATACACACGCTGATGTTTTAATTAACATAAAAATCAGATTAAAGTTGACATATGTGTTGTAGTAACATACGCAAAAAAATGTTTAACTTTTTAATGTATGCAATATTTGTTTTTTGTAATTTTTTTTTTATTGTTTTAATTTATTTTAGTTAGAATGTAATTTCTTAAATTTTTATCCATACAATGAATCGCTTTGTTAACTTGAATGTATTTAAGAGAAATATTTTATATTTTTTAATTAACTGTATATATAGAAAGAAACAACTGTTTTTAAAACTCTTTAATGATTTGTCATTTTTTTTGTTTCATAAATTGTCTTTTTTTTTTATCATATTTTAAATTTTTTAATGCTCGTGTTCTTATTTTAATACATAACTAAAAACATGCTGTGAAAGATATAGATTTTTCGAATTTTTAAATTAGTAAGTAAAAATATATTATCAGATCGATAAATATATTATTAGATTTATCAGATAAGATAGATATACTATCAGTGAGGGAAATATATTATCAGATCAGATAGATATATTATCAAATAGGGAAATATATTAACAGATCAGATAGATTTAATTATCAGATAGGGAAATATATTATCGGATCAAATAGATATATTATCAGATTATTTAAATGAAACACGAGAGGTCTTGATTTTTATATGCTACTTTTAAAAACTGTGGATTAGATTGCAAGAAAATGGACTTAAAAACAAGTCCCTTTTCTTCTCAATCAAGAGATGCACTAATAATTCCATAATGTATCGCTTTGCAGCTCTTTAATCTACCTATAGTTTGGTTTTGTTGCTCTACGGTCATTTTTTTTGCACAATTTGGGCTAATTAGACCGGGACCTTAAGTTTAACATGAATTCCAAACCACTATCAATCATCTATGCCACCACTAACTTAAACCTGTGGTACTAAAATCCGGAGCGCTAGACATTCGGTCATCAGACCGCATAAACTACCTATCAGAGAATCGACAGAAAATCAAAGCAAATGATTTTACAGATTAATTTGAGTATCGCTGGAAATGCAAGTATTTGTTAACGTAAAAAATGAAAATGAAATTAAAATAAGCATTTTATGCATATGTTATTTACTTATTCATTAAAGTTCTATTAAAAAATGTCTTCCTTTATCCGAATTTTAGCATATTTGATTATTCTCATTCATATGATTTTGGTGTATGCGTATGTATGTGGGGCTGACTGCTGAGTGACTAGCGCTCGATGCTACAGATTTCGGGTTGGAGTCCCGGCGGTGCCATAGATGTTTTTAATGGTTCGGTATCCACTCTAAACTGTAAACCACGGTCTAATAGGATCGTAGAGCGTTGGACGTGGGACTGACAACCCTACCCCGTAAAAAAAAAGCATCTCCTGTCTCGAAATCTGCCAGTTGGCAGATGGCCTTGGCCCACCATCGGGCTGTCGTGCCAATGATGATGGTGATGATGATGTATCTACTGTATTATAAACATTCTTGAATCTGACAATTTTAATTATTGATCGGAGATTCATTTTTAATACGCTTTTATTAGTTTCACCTGTATGTTTGTTTGTAACTGACTCTTTTGCCCTACTTTAAGCGATCAGATTTAATTTAAACGTTGTAGACTTATCAAGGACCGACGACACTAAAATATTTTGATAGGTTTATTATCTCATCCTGATTAGGATCGCCAGGATTAGGGACTTTATTTTAATTTATGAAGAGCAATTTAACCTATGTACAATGAAAGTACCTAAGACATTCAAACCTACATGGGACAGTGGCAAAACGGATAACACGCCTGACTGCGGATCAGGAGATTCCCTGTTCGAATCCTGGTTGGCTCGACATATTCGCATTTAACCTTTGTTTTACTCACAATTAAATTATTGTAAGAACTATAGTTCCAGTCCTCCGTACCGGGACCTCATTCGAATATTATAGTTTAAACTAAATAACACGCTTTTAGAATTAATCAAAGTAAAAAATAAATTAATAGTTTAGAAAAAACTAAAAAACACGCTTTTAGAGTTAATCAAACTAAAAAATAATTGTTAACATAAGAATAAAACTACTGACAAGAAAATGAATACCACTGTTCTAAAGGAGTCGGGTGCTTTGTATGACATTTTTAAACTAACTCTGCATTTCGGAATGAAACTAGTGGAAAATTATAACGATTGATATCGAGCACCCCATGCTTTCTTATGTTAACGATTATTTTTTAGTTTGATTAATTCTAAAAGCGTGTTTTTTAGTTTTTTTAAACTATAATTTATTGTATTGCAATTCAAAAGATTTAATCCATTCAATTGCGTTTGCAGGTTCAGCGATGTTCAGCAGGAACTGGAGGAGTTTCAGGAAGGCAGCCGGGACCTGGAGTCCGAACTGGAAGTCCAGCTGACTCAGGCGGAGACCAAGAACAAAGAGCTTGCGGCCGCCAACAAACAGCTGAAGGGAGAATGCGACAGATTGCAGGTAGCCACTCTTCTCCTTTGCTACGTTGCGAATGTCTATATAACAACGTTGCATTTTTCAATGCTATTCAGTATTAGTTGATAATAGGACATATTGATTGGTTCTCACTATAAGTTTTTCAGAGATTAATTTGTTTGAATTTTAAAACTATCCGACTATGTTGAAAGATTTTGGTTTAAAACATTGAATAATTATTAAAATATTTGAAATTTCGGTTTTCCTAAAACTTCTTTCATTTTTGACTTAACGGTTGGTAAAAATGAAATTACCAGTACTTTTATTTAAGGGTGAATCGCTAAAACAGATTGAAGTAGATTGTATTACGAAATTAA